GAATGGAGATTGACCTTGCCTCTGGAGGGAACTAATAACTGAGGCCTTGTCTATTTAAAATGCTTTCCTGAGCCTGACTAGAGTTTAGTCAAGCAGTTTCTAGGTAGGCAAAATCAGGTAAAATCAGTTTGGTCCTTACAGTAACCAGGCGCCTAATTATTGCTCGTCTCAGAATTGTGATGGCTGAGCTCTGCATGGTCCACTAGTGCCTTTGACTAATTGTTTACCGTGTGTCTTCTACTTTCCTTCACTTTTCTTTACTCTGGGTGGGAAGAGAGCAATATTTGCACCTTAGATGGCCAGCACACCATACCTTGTCTGGCTTTTGGAGGCACTGAATACATGGTGGTACTGTACTAACAAACTAGGCAGCTGGTGACATCAAGTTCCAAAACAGAAACATGATGTCAAATAAGCGTTCTGTTTGCTGATCACTGGCCCTGTATCCTTTCCTGGACTTTGCGATTTTCTAAGCATCATTTCATGTAATATCTGAGACAGAAGGGAAATAACTTGCTAAAGGACACAGGCTGGTAAGTGGCAACATAGGAACCTGAACTCTCTCTTGAGTACTTGCTAAGCTGACCATACAGGACCTTAAGAGAAAATCCCAGAGCTGTGTGAATGGTTGGGCTTAGTTGGCAGCCGGAACCCTCCCAGCAGTACCACCCCAGAAACGCCTGGTGATCTCTGCATTTGTAAAGGTTATAGTCAGGAAAACCCTATGGAGCAGTCTTAAATGTGATAACTTTAGAGCTTAAGGTAGCCATTTATCTTCCAGAGGATCACTCTTCTTTCTAGAACACTGAAAAGAGGTAATGTTAGCTAGTTGATTCCAATGAAAGCATAGTTGTTAACTGCTGTCAACTTGGCCCCTTAACTCATAGCCATTCCAAACATACCGTAATGCTGCCCAATCCTGTGCCATCCCTGTGCCATCCCCAGGATCAGCTGTGGGTCAGCCCACTGTGTTCCATAAGGTTTTCATTGGCTGGTTTCCAGAAGTAGATGGCCAGGCTTTTCTTGCTAGTCTATTGTAGTCTGGACGTTCCTCTGAGACCTGTTCAGCATCATAGTAACACACAAACCTCCACTACTGGGGGATAGGTGGTAGCTACGCATGTGGTGCATGAATGGAAGAAAAAAAAATAAAAACAACCAAAGCAATATGAAAATGGTATTATTTTTATAAATGGGTGATACTTATAATATATATTTTTAGTTTTAGTGACCTTGTGTTGGAAAACTAAAGATTTCAGAAGTGAAAGTCTCAAGTATTTAGAGATGGTTTTTATTTTCCAGATAGAACTCATCGGTGAGCTGAAACAAACAGCTCTGAGCCATAGAAATCACTGGACACGTGCGTCGACAACGTAAACGCTAAGTCCTCTAAAGGCAATGGTGAAAGAAAAGAAAAAAACTGATAAAAAAGGAGACAAATCGGCTCGCTCCCTCTCATCCATCAGTGACAATCCGGAGCTTCCCAAACCAGATGGCAACACCACCCGGCAAGAAATGTCCCCAAGTAGCGCTCCACTGCTAATGGAAAAGCAGTCTAGTGAAACAGCCGCCAAAAGGGAGTTACAAAAGGATGAACAACCAAGTGAAGACACCACTCAATATGAGGAACCCATCCTGACCAAACTAATAGTGGAAAGGTGATTTTCCTGGGTGGGCTAGAGTTTAAAGGAGTACTAG